CAAAAATGTAATTTAACTGATTAATAAATGACGTGTAAAACATTTAGCTGCACAAGATGCGTTTAATACAGTTTGCTTGTAAATTTGTTGAAGTTGGCAGTTGTTGACTGTCATTCTGTTTAAACAGGCATTTGAGTCTGAAGAGCATGATCACTAGACCAGCCTTTGCTGTTTTGTTTGATTTTATTGTTCATTTTATTACTGTACTTTGTTCATTGTTTTTATTTTATGCTCCTGTACAGCACTTTGGTTTTTATTGTGCTTRATAAATAAACGATGATGATGATGATGATGATGATATGGAAAGCCTGGTGGTATACCATTTCGTACCAAAAACTGGATGTCACGACATGTTTCCATTATACACTGTAGAAATAGATTTCAGAGATATGGTCAAAAAGCTGGATACCTGCTTTGATGATAGGTCGCAAATATTTTGTCCAAACATCGATKCCCAAGTTGTACAAGAGTACAGAGAAAACTAAATCACTAGTGACACTGCACTGAAAACTATCACTTCTAAAAAGCCTGTAATAATATTTATGTGGACATGAAAGTATAGCCGCTTTACTGCAGTAATTTCCCTCTCWATCAGTGGAAAATATYGTTAACACYCAGGTATGCATTAAAAMAAAAGTARAGTCAAATACCACAAGACTAGTGCTGGTAAATCAGGTTCACTTTATGGAACCGGGTTAATATYAGTCTGTGGAGRCTAGATCTATTCAACTCACTTACTAGACTGTTGARAACCAGGAGTCCTCCCGTTCTCTCAGGTCAGCAGACCAGCTGCTCCTAACAATCCCAAAAACGAAACGTAAGCTTAGAGGGGATTGTGCCTTCTCCACTGCTGCCCCTAAAATGTGAAACAACCAACCTTTGGGCATCAGACAGGCCACATCCCTGTCAGCTTTTAAAACGCTACTTAAAACCCATCTCTTCTCATTGGCTTTTGGCTCCGAGCTGTTGATTTTAAGTTTGTTTTGAGATTATTTTTATTTGTTTTAATAGGTTTTATGTGTTTGTTTTATTAGTTTTCATTTTTGGATTTGGCTTTTAGTATGTACTGTGACTGTTGTGTGTTTTATTGGCTGTGACTGTACAGCACTTTGGTCCTATGGTTGTTTAAGTGCTTTTTAAATAAAGTTGGTATGGTATGGTAGGAGTCAACACAAGTGAGATTACTCCTCCCTGTGGACAGCCTCGTCTGAGATTAACGATTATTGAACAGTATTCCAGAGTTGAAGATGCTTTCCTTGTCCGAAGCATGAAATCGAACCAGTTTGTAGTTGTCTCATCCACACCTTTGCTGGTAAGTGCTCTTTCTATAGCTTCCACAGGTACATTGTCAAAWGCCCCCTGTATGTCCAAGAAGCATCCAAGAGCATATTGTCCACGTGCCAGGCTGCGTTCTATTCTCAAAACATCATGTAAGGCTTTTTCTGTAGAAAGACCTGCCTGATATGCATGTTGTTTAGAACTTATGATAGCATTGAAATACCATCCCTTACATGRTGATCTATTAACCTGTCCATTCGCTTCAGCAAGAAAGATATTAAGCTGATGGGTCTGAAAGATTTTGCTTCTTTATACAGTATGTTGGCTTGCCAGGTTTGGGCTGAAAGACAACCTTTGCTGTCCTCCACCCAACTGGTACATAGCCATTTGCTAGACAAGCAACATATGATCTAGATATTGTGTCAAGACGCTGTAGAGAACTATGGCTCTACACTTCTCAAAATTTAAAGTTATGAGGAAATCACGAGTTCTTTCTGTGTAGGGAGTAAATACCTTTCTGTGTAAAGGTGAGAAACAAATTCACACAATAATTTACCATACTCAGTAGTTCAAGTCTTCTGAAATAAATTATATTTATTTACAGAATAAAATACCTAATTTCCCTCTGGGATCAATAAAGTATTTTTGAATTGAATTGAAAATAAACCACTTATGTACAAATTAATGTGAATAATCACAACTTTGTGAGCTAAAACATCAACAAGAATCACGTATGCGTCCGTAATGATTAATGTAAATATGACAACTCAGAAAGAACAGTCAACTTTAGGTTTGAGATCTTGATAAACCAGATGTTTACAGGCACATGACTTATATGGCAAGGTTTTAAGCTTAAGAAAAGTAAGGAAAAAAGGAGGYTTAGMTTTTAAGACTAAAAATGATCAATTATCTAATCAAAGTGTGAGAAACTAGAACAAACACTTGATATCTGCAGAMGCTTCAGCCCCAATTCCGATACGCTTGTCAAAACACTCAGTTTTACCTTTTGGTGTTCGACCGCCAGGTTTAGCGTGTGGGAAGACTTCACCTAGGGGAGGTGGAGCCKGGTCAGGACTGCCGCTCTCCTTCAGTAAAACCTCCAAGTTTTGCTCCACTGCGTCTTCTGGAATCTGCTCTGGTCCATCAGATAGTCAAGTTCGTCCTAGGCTTTTCTTTCAAAATAAAACTTCTCACCAGAAGTTTCAAAATAATGGAGCTTCAAAGCTGGTTATTTTCAGGTCAAGACTGAAGGTGTCTTGATCCTAGACATAAGATTTGCTCGTTGGCTCATGAACAAATCTCATTGTCAAAATGCTGAATTTTCCTGTAAAAGGAAAACAGCTCAGAGACGGAACGCTCTGCGCCCCTTCCGTCTGCTAGGTCTGACCAGCATCCTCCCCCACCAACGGAGCCGACTGACCACCAGGTAGTGGTCAGTTGACAACTCCGCCCCTCTCTTCACCTGAGTGTCCAAAACATGCAGCTGCAGATCAGATGAAACGACAACAAAGTCGATCATCGAACTGCGGCCTAGGGTGTTCTGGTGCCAAGAGCACATATGGACACCCTTATGTTTGAACATGGTGTTCGTTATGGACAATCCATGACAAGCACAAAAGTACAATAACAAAACACCGCTCAGGTTCAGATCGGGGGAGTCGTTCCTCCCAACCACGCCTCTCCAGGTCTCAATGTCACTACCCACATGAGCGTTGAAGTCCCCTAGCAGAACGAGGGAGTCCCCGTTCGGAGCACTCTCCAGCACCCCCTCCAAGGATTCCAGAAAGTGTGGGTAATCTGAACTGCTGTTAGGCGCATAGGCACAAAAAACAGTCAGGACCCATCCCCCCACCCATAGGCGGAGGGAGGCTACCCTCACGTTCACCGGGGTGAACCCCAATATACAGGCACCAAGATGGGGGACAATACGTATGCCCACTCCTGCTCGGCGCCTCTCAGCATGGACAACTCCAGGGTGGAAGAGTGTCCAACCCCTCTGGGGGAGACTGGTTCCAGAGCCAGAGTGGTGCATTGAGGTGAGTCCAACTATATCTAGTCGGAAACTCTCACTCTCACACACCAGCTCATTTACATATACAATGAATAATTTTGGTCCCAACACTGATCCCTGCGGGACCCCACAAGTTATGTTTTTTTAAAGGATTTGTGATCACCGATTTGAACAAACTATTTCATATTTTGAATATAACATCTTAGCCAGTTTAGCACCACTCCCCTAATTCCATATTTTTCCAGTTTACTTAATAAAATACTACGATCAATGGTATCAAATGCCTTTTTCAAATCAATAAATACTCAGATAGCAAAGTTTTCGAGGTCCATACCATTAAGAATTTTTTCAGTCATGTGCATCAATGCCATTGATGTGGATCTTTTTTCTCTAAAACCATAATGACATTCTGACAGTGTTATGCTTTTTAATGAAGGCATCAAGCCTTTGAATGAACAGTTTTTCCAGGATTTTAGAGAACTGGCAGAGTAATGATACTGGCCTGTAATTAGTGAAAAGTTGTTTGTCCCCAGCTTTAAATACTGGAATAACTTTGGCAATTTTCATTTGATGTGGAAATGATCCTGTTGTGAATGATAAGTTATAAATATAAGTCAGTGGATGCACAAAGGCATTGTTAAGAGCCGACTGCTCTTACCCGGGTCCATTGGGATTTTTGGAGAAATTAGTAGGAGACACCTTAAAGA